AGAGGGGCGTGGGATCGCTGAACTACTCCGTATATCAATGTCACCGTATAACTCGTACAGCTCATCGTTCCATCGTCTGCGGTCTTCACTGTTGCCAATGCGCAAATGACCAAAAATCGTTCTTTTCTCTCGAAGACTCCCAAGTCCGACTCATCCAGGACTCTATAACAAATAGCAGAACAGGAATTTTGTGTGACTTGTCGTTTCTCGTTTTGGTTCGTCGAGTGAGTATTTTACTTGGAAATTTACCAGAACTACTGATGGGATCAAATTTTATTAATTTTTTCATAGACCGAGATGAAGTTAGCGGCATATAATTCGACGATTCAACTACTCGCTAGTTGAAATCTCGTCTAGAAAAGTTACGATTGCGCCTTGGGATCTTACGAGGCTAGTCTACGACTAGTTTCTTGTGAGCTGTAAGCGCTCCCAGGAAGAGGAAGAGTGTGTGAGTCGATCTTATTTATTTTTCTATAAACGATGTTCAATGCATGTTTATTGTTACGTCCAGCGGTTCTCTAATTATGTACTGTGGGATATTCGTCTGAGCTGAATACCAACAGATATTATTGGGATTCCAACAGGGTTTTTATTAACTACTGGTCCACAGCGATAAAAGGATCGCTCACTTTTTTAAGTCCTTTTTTAGAACACTTATAGCCTACTGGCAGCAGAAAAAGATTATTCTCTTTTTTCTTCTGCACTTGCACCTTTCATTCCCTCGACTGGCGTTGGCAGTGACGTCTGTCGGTATTTAGAGATTCCTTTAATACCAATTGATTGACGGCAGGGTTGCGTAGGAAAAATCATCTCAGTGTGTTTGGTGTGTAATGGCGACGTGTCCCTTTGGGTATAGGCGACGGCATCAAGACAGCGTCATAGCGATAGAATTTTGCGACGCGACGGATTCGATCCAAAATGAAAAGAGGAAGAAATTACGCAGTAAGTTTTTGCTAGACATTTGTTGGGTTAAGTCGAAATCGAGTTTGGATGCATATAAGTTGAGTCTACTACAAAATCTTAGTTGTCCCCCTATTACTTGGGTCCCACAGGCTTGTCCAAACTCTTTGTCTGCTATAACTAGTGGTTGGATTTCGATGAGGGCATTCACTGGAAGCGAGTTGCGAGCATGACGGTACCATTTTACGTCTAGAGGTTCTGTAATGAAATTCGAAAAAACCAAGATTTCTTTTCTGATGTGCCTGGGAGACGATTCTTCTAAAGCAAGTGCCTGTAATTTTGATTTCTGCGATGATATTCCAGCAAAAACTTCTCGATTTGCATAAGGTTATGATTCCGTTACCGTTTTGTCTCGCTATTTAGATAGCCCAGAGGTGATATCAGGAAGATTTCTGAATTTCGTGCTCAAGGCAGTAACTGCTTCATCTGTAACTCACTCTTACCTGGCACCTAAAACGATGGACACAATATTCACCGAACAGTGAGGCTAATATGTCGGTGGTTTCAAACTAGATTAGTCGTTCCAGGCTTCGAATCGGAAGATCCTTTAGATGTAAGTTAAGTCTATATTTCCTATAAAGACTAATTCGGAAAAATCTCGTGGCACTAGCCTCCTGGCTTCATAAAAATAAGCTACCGATCAGATTTTTCGCGAACTGGGTGCGGAATTCTGCTTTGTATGAGAGCTTTCTTTGGAACCGTAAACAAATCACGGTTTATATGTACATTCTGCACCAAGTCAAGGAAGCTTCGTAAAAGTGGTTTTACTGCGATCTCGCACATTTTAGTATCGAAATCGTAGATTCGTTGCAACCCCATCCAATACCTTCATTACAAATATTTCATTGGATTCCCTTGTCTATTAATGAGACCATTTTACACATTACACATTTCTGATCTACGCCGCTGCTCTTGCTCCTCCATCCACGAGTATACGGTGCAGATACTGATTACGCACGGGCGTAAATTACCGTGAATTTCGCGGAATGAAGCACAAATTGTCAGCGAAGTAAATTATGAAAGGGCTGACGCACTGCGCATCACGAACACTCTGCCGACATTGTTGCCTCACGTTGGACGGAGTTGGCTTTGGGTTAGGGTTGGGTTAGCTTGAGCTGTGTTCTGCTGGAATCGTTGAGTATTTTGCAAGAAATTTCAATTGCTTTGGACTTTATGATGTGCATTTAATTGTCTTTAAGCTCTCTGGCGGCGACCAGAATGTGCGCGAAAATATGTGAGCAATGTCGTCATGACCAACACTAATTCGCCGTAAATGTCAACAGCATTCCCACTACATCAATGTGTGGTGTGGACACACGAGCAACAGCCAAACACACATATGCACATGTGTACATATATTTGATGTTGATAGCTGCACGTGAACGGTCGCTGAGTACGCGAATGCGCATGATCATCTATCAGCGGCGTGGTAGCAAAAGCAGTAGCCGACACTATCGGTATTGTCGTCTCCATCGCCTTCGCCATCGCCATTGCCATCGCCATCATCACCATCACCAACACGTCAGCCACTCCCGCTAAATGCTATTAAAGTAATATGTTGCTACTTCTTCTGGCTTCGCACCGCTTCATCACTTGATCGGGCCGTCCGGTTGTGCGGAACGTCGCAAGATTTACGATTCATCAGCAAATTTCAAATGTGTCCGTATTTTCGCAAAGTGCAATGTGTTCGCTGGGTCGGTGGATTGGTGAAAAGAAGCTACAGCCAGTGGACAGATAAATAGCAACCGTTATGGCCCCAAGAATATTCCGGCTTCAAACCTGACCAGACCAAGTTCTTGTGTCGCCATGAGCCATGTGCTTCATCGTATCTCTAGACTAAAGAGAGAAACCAGAGGACTTTGACTGCTACTACTAGGAAAACCCTTGACAAAGAAAACAGCGGCCTTATTGGTTTCGGATTTGGGATTTCTACATTTCTTACTGCCACTAAGCTAAAGGTTTCTGATCTTACACCGATTTCTTCCGAGTATGTACCCATTATCTCAGTGAAAACGCCTCTTCACATCATAGGTGCAACCAATTTGTTGTGGACGGAAAATTTTTTCTAGAAAATTCGTAAGGAATCTAGGGAGAGATAGTAAGGTTTGGTTGTTTTATTTCAGTAATCTTTGTTCCTAGCGCCTACGTCTTGCGACACTTGACAAGTTTGTTAAAGTTTTTTGGCTCAGCTTGCAAGAAGTCTTTGGAACCTGGGGTTTCATCATGGTGCATTTTAGAATAAATACTTTCCCTCACAGTCTGTGACTTCTAGTTACTTCGCGTTGAAACTACATATGTGCATAACATGTTTCTGAATTTTTAGCCAACTCAGTTAACTCCGGGCAAGCATCCTTCTGTCTCAAGATTCATCAGATGGCGGAAGAAGCCCCTAGTCTTTCCTGGTTTTTCTTAGTTTTCATACAAGGTGTAAGCTGTTACTGTTAAGTTAGGCTACGTTAGACTAGTTGACTCCCCATATAGATGATACTACGGCCATATTGTTAACAGACACCTTGCAGATGACCAAAGCCCTGTCTCCAGTTTGACTAACTATTCTCCTAACGAAATGAAGTAGGAATTTTGGCCCTTCGTTCTGTACCCATTTAAGATCCATCAGATTATCCCTGTTGAGTATGAGCTGATTCTGTCTGACGAGCAGGGGACCCTCACATATTATTATTATAAAATCAGAAAAGTTTTGGTCACAACGATGTAGCCAGAAGATAGTGAGGAATCGATACAGTCCCGATATGCACTCAATAATTGAACTGCGGCTTATATTTTCTGCGAAAACTAGAAATTTTCTCTCTCTCTCTCTATCTCTCTCTTTTCACACTTCCTGTCACACTCTCTCTCTCTCTTGCTTGAACTGCATCTTATATTTTCTGCGTAGAACTGAATTTCCTCGTCTCTCTCTCTCTCTTCGTTTCATACTTCCTGAAGCTCTCTTCTTTTCACACTTTTTTCTTGCCAATTTTACTCTCTTTCTTTCTTTCTCTTCAGTTCACACTTCTTGCCACTCTATCTCTCTCTCTCTTCATCTTTTTCTCTTCAATTCTCACTTCATGTCACTCTCTGAGTTCAGTTCACATTTAATGTCCTCTCACTGGTTCACTCTCTCTCTCTCTGCTTTCCAAAGCATAATTTGAATTTAAAAGGAGCGAGGTGTAGGACGGATCTAAAACTTTAGAGATAACGATAAAACCCGCTCGACTTCTTGCACTCGTTGAAGTCTATTAATGGACGAACTCTTAGCATACAATGAAGGAGTTTCTAATTCTGCACCATTTACATGCCCACAAGTGTACGTAGAAAAACACGGTAGCGGCTACTCGCTAAGAGGTAACCACATGGAACCGCAGCGATCGAATGTGACGGCGATAATGTAACGCAAAGCTCGAAGAAACCTGCATTGGAAACAAAATCGTACATGACTGTCTGTACGTCTTCTCGATAAGTGTGTCTTCAGCTGCACAGCTGTACCATAAACAACAGACAATTTGTCCATTTACTCGTTTACGTTTTGATGTTGATCACATCAGTGTTTCAGCCGCGCCCGCCCATCAACCGCCTTATCCAGCGCAGTGTTGCCAATATTGCTACCGCATTGCTGCAAGCCAATACCGAATGCAACGGGAACAGAAGCAGACCCAGAAGAAGTAGCAGCAGCAGCAACCGCAGCCCAAAGCCATCAAACCATTTGGGACAAGGAGGGGCCGTTTGTTTACGTCTTTCGCTTACAAATTTGGACACAGCCTTGATTGGGGTGTTGAATGAAAGCAGCAGCAGCCGCCGCAGCCGCAGCGGTAGAATTGCTTACTCCAAACCAAAAGCGCCTAACAACAAACAAAGCAGCCGCAGCTGCACGCGTGCTAGCCAAAACTGGCGACTTTTGCTGTTATTCTGCATTTGATGTCCCTATTTAGACGTCTTGGCGTGGTTTGGTCTGCTTTGCTATGCGGAATCGGCAAAATTGGCTGGTGCGCAGCAGTGCTGGGTGCCACGGTTGCCTCAATCTTCAAACTGTAAATGGTAGTGAGTTTTCAGCGAATATAAATGGAATTTATTTAAAACTTCAATACGTGAAAATTGCGTTCTACTCTTCTACGCGTCGCTCTCTTTCGTTGTCCGCCGTGCGCACCAATTAGGGTACCATGCAATATATATCGCTTTCGTGCGGCTCACGTACAGCGTTCGGATCATCTGAGGAATCTCTATTTAGTGAGCGGAAAATTAGAAATATTATTTATTTTTTAGAAGAGAAATGAAGATTAATTCTGCTTACATTTCTTCCGAGATATCGCTTTCATCGCCGTATTCCACGGGCTTCTTGCAAATGCAACATATTTTATTGGACTCATCAAAGCAGCTTTGACAGTAGACCGCTTTGCAGCCGGGCGTTGAGCATTCCACTCTATCCCTAGAAAATAGAATTTTTTACTTTAAGACCACTGAATATCGTCTTGTTGGATCCACGAACTGGTACCCAAAGTATATTGACTTTAGGCGGGGAACACTGCTCCTGCCTGTTGCAACGCAAAGAAAAACGAAAACGGAACGCCAGGAAACCGGTATCCCAATTAATAACTATGGAACAGATGTCTCGTTGTCCGACTGTGTAAAAGTTCGAATAAAAACCGTCCGTGGATTGCCGGCCGAGCTATTCAAATTCGACACAAAGAACTGATAAGATGCAGCTTCTTTGTAAAACATCTTTGAATGAAAGCATGCCCGACGATTGGTACCTTAGTGTACACTGCCCAACTGTGAAAGCAGCTTTTCAACGTCGGACCATCTATGTGTTTGTTGACGTTCACTATTTGATGCACAGAGGCGCGTACGTATCACAATATAGTGATCCGAGTCGATGTTAGGACCTCGTAATGTACGCACATCTAAAACACTGGATACTTGTCTTCCGTCTGTCACAACATTATCAATCTGGTTGAGAGCTTTTCGATCTGGAGACAGCAAAGTACCCATTTGGGGATGCTGAAATTTCCGACATTTATGCTGAATACACCTTCTTGGCCCACCCTGGCGTTGAAGTCGCCAAGCACAATTTCGACTTCGTGCCGGGGGCAGCGCCGAAGTGCATGCCAGCACTCGAGACAAAGACCCACCTTCCCCATCGTATTTCTTGGACAGCGGTGATGTCAGCCTTTAATTTTATAAGGACATCAACCAGCTGGGCAGTTGCACCTTCCCATTTAAGGGAGCGGACATTCCAGGTGCATGCCCTAAAATCGTAATCCTTAAAACATTTGCGGGGGTCTCTCGCCTACGAACGGATGTTTGTAGGCTACTCTGTTGATACTTGGTCTAAAACCGGAAGAACTGAGTTGCTTGAATCATGTGCAAAAGAATCGTTTCTGACCAATTTCAGGTGATGGGCAGTCAAAAACTTTTCTCACTTGGCCTCATCCCCAAGAATATGGTCGGGGAGATTGAACGATGTTAAATCTATGAATGAGGTTTCATAAAAGGTCCAGGACTTTAAAACCTTTTTGAATTAGTACGAATCAAACAGTTCCCAATCAGAATGCGCTAGTTTTTTGCCGATTTTAAAGAGGAGAGAAGAATTCAGTAAGAGATTGAGAAGCTTCTACCTTCTCTCTATGCAGTTACTTGACAACCAGAATATTTCTACCAGCCCCGCGGTGCCGAGTGGTTAGCATTGCGTACTGACTTTCGGAAGGCTCGAGTTCGTATCCTGGTGTCGTACTATCATTCAAAAACAATATACGGTTCGACAAAGCTGATCCTGGAGGCGAAACAGAACACTGAACTCTTAACTTCCTAATCGACTCTACCTCCAGAAACAGCTTTCTCAATCAGCCGCAGAATAAAAATGGGTGGTGAAGAGTTTATTGGAAGCTAGCTTAGAGTCCCAGGTAGTCTCTTCGGCAAATAACAACATTTTGTGGAAGGTGTTGTTCGTAAAGCTCGTGCAGGTATCCTAGTGCATCCACACATAAGCCTCCCCAAGCCAGACATGTCGGAGGATACGCATTGAGGAAGGGAGCACATTAAAGTTCGTAGTGAAAAAACTAACTAAAAGACCTGACTCATTTAGGTTGACTCCGCGTTAGAGCCGAATTTGATAAAGATTTCAGGTAAATCGAGTCAATCATAAAGTCTATTCAAAATTTTGTCTATAAAAAAGAAGCGAGATACTCCAAGTGCACACTCGTTCGTATAAAACATACCCTTTCAGAGGAAATCCGCACAGCAGACAAGTATCACCTTTGCGATGTCCTAGTATGAAGCGACAAAGAAAGCAACTATAAAATGAAAAATCAAAAGGAAAATATAAAATTTCTTCGAAATTCTCAATGGGTCGCAAATTACCCCGCAGTCTTCGCACGCAGCCAATCCAAAAACGTATACGGATCTGCTCTGGGATCGTGTTTAAATTTGGCACGCGCCTTACGACGCAATAGCTTGAGAAACGTCACTATGTAGAGAGAGAGAGAGATAGAGAGAAACATATTACACAATTTCATCAGCTCTCTCATCCGCACTCACTGCGCTTCATTAGTATCTCATTGTAAAGCCAAGCAGCGCGTTGACGCGCCTCAGCCGGATAATATAGACGCATGACAATGTGACGCAGACGCAAACCGTATGGCTCACAAAACAAAAATATCCAAGCTAACAAGCAACAGCCGCCAATTTCCAGATAACGCCGGAAATTAGGACGTCGAGGTCTGGGCAGGCAGGGCGTAGCATCGATGCTATACTTTTGACTGAACGGTTCAAAAGCATCAACGATGCCGCGTAACATATCCGAAACATAACCATCACCTTCCACATCCACCGCAATGTAGGGATCAACTGTAGAATGAAACAAGAAATGCCAAGTTAAAAGCATTCCAGAGTTGACAGTCGGCAGCTCACCTTCAATATTCGCCGTCTGACTGCCATAATAGGTGATCATCGCCAGAACCCAGTAGAAAGAGTAATCTGCAAAGCAGATACAGAAAATCTGTACGGTGGTTATGAACAAAAACAACATGGAACGCATCAATCTGAAGACCTCGCGTCGCGTCAGACGACAACTTGTGATCTAAGTTGAGCAGAAAGAAAATACAATATGAATGCACTTTCCTGTGTTTCCTGTGGTAATCGCTCGGTACGAACCCAGATATATTTTCGCTTTTCCATTTTCTTCAAGGGCAATGCACGTTCTTCTTCCGTCAGTTTCCTCTGCTCATCGATCTCCAAAAAGTCCTTAGTCAGATAACGATTATCATAGCCTGGTTGGCGTAAATATTTCATTTTGAAGTAGAGAGCTCTGTAATGGCGCAAGTTTTAATATACTTATATTGTACATACATATATACGAGGGGATTAACAAAAGTTCGGAAAGTTGGCCAGAAAAAACCATTCTTTTTGTATTTATTCGTAAACTTCGTCCTTTTTTCTTCTCTACCTAATCGCCCTTGATTTCAATGCATTTCTCAAGCCTAAAGTTCCACTTCTGAAAACAGTCTGCAAAATCTTGCTTTTTCTTTTCTTTCAAGCTCAGCATTAACCGCATTAATTAACTCCTTTCCTTTTAATTTTTTTTTTTAATTTTTGGAAATAACCAGAAAGTGGTGTTGGACGTATTTCTTCGGTCCACAGATCGCAATGAAATTACTCGTTATTTCAGCAGTGATGCCTGCAGATGGCGCGTTGTCATGATGTAAAAAGTAGCGCCGCAAATATTCTTTCTTCCTGTGTTCCAACAAATTTTTGAAAGCTGTTGGTAAGCACTCTTCGGTGTATCATTTTGCAGTTACCGTCTGACCCTTTTCCAGTGAGAGAGCTGTCACGATTTTAGATCGACTTTTCGGGTTTCATTTAAAATTCGTTGTACCCATCGTGCTGACTTCTTCGTGTGTCCCAGATGATTACTTAATATTCGCGTTATAGCCAAGACATTCAAGCCCAACTCTTTGGCAATCATTTCTTGTGTCAATCGTGGGCCTTTGTCCATTTCGGACTTCACCTGAGCTACAAAGACGTCATCAGTGGTAGATTTTGGTCGTCCTTCTCGGCGCTCGTCCTCTAAGGAAAAATGTCTGGTCTGGAATTGTCGGAACCACTTATAAATAGTCTTTAATGACGGTGCAGTCGTTCCATATGCAATTTGGCATTCACTGAATATTTGTATTGGCTGTAAATTACGCCGAAAAACAAAGATGAATGGCGAATTTCTGTTTGCGTTGGTGGTGGAATTTCGTCTGACCTAACTTCAGCTATCTTGCGTTTTCTCGTCTCTATTTTAACTCGTCGCCCTAAATCTTGAAATGAAGTTGAATAAAGTAATTGCGAAGGATTTTGTAATTTTAGGTTTAACAAAAACAACTTGAAAGTCACCAACTGGCCGAACTTTTATTAATCCCCTCACACATATATATCTATGGGTAGCACTCACTTGATTATCACCCAAATGCACAGAAAACCACCAACCACATCTAGCCAACCGAATATGAGAAAGAAGCCCCTCATACGCAAATGTATCTCATCCATTATATCACGTCCGACATCTGTGAGATTCTTCGACGCCACTGTTGAGAAGGTAAAGTCATGATCGAATGTGACGGATGCATCAAACATATTTTTTATCCCCTCTGTGAATTCCTTTAATTCTAGAAAAGTAAAAAAATTATGTGTTTTAAGTACATACATATATCTAATCGTATATATCCAATTCACTCACTCTCCATAATGGTGCCCAACACGCTGTCGTCGAAGAACACCACCATCACACAAACTAAGTCTATCACTTTAACGGTGTAACAGAGCATTGAGAATAGGTGAGTGGCGTGGCAGAGACCCTGGAAGTAGCCTAACTTTTCTCTGCAAGGAAGTGAAAGAAAGAATAAGAGAGATCCGAAATAGGAGAAGAATAACTATTGAATCCCGAAACATTTTATGATTGATTTTAGAAAAAGTATTTAGAATTTTCTAAGAGAATGTAACCCACAGCCCTTTGTCGAGCTTCTTAAGTCATCGGATTGAGTTTTTCAACTCTGGAGATAATTTTGTCGTAGTAGAGACAATCCTACTTTGCTTGGTTCTATAGAGCTTTAGCTCCTTCATAAATGTCATAACTCTAGCTTTCTCCTTCTTTACTAACGTAAACACCGCTCACGCGATTATCTTCTTCTACTTCATTGCCAGAACTAACAATAGCGCTCCATTCGGTTCCTCTCTTCGCTATTTGTCGTCAATTGAAAATACCCAGTGAAAGCTGGTCGCTCACCTTCTAATCCTACCAACGGAGTGGAGGTCTTTCTTTTCCTTTGCTTCCACCGACCGGTATTCTATCGAAAACATTCGAAGCGGGAGTGTGTTCATCCATTCGGAACACATGAGCTAGCCGCTGAACTACATATATCAATGTCGGCGTATAACTCGTACAGCCCATCGTTTTATCGTCTGCAGTACTTGGCTTTGTCAAAGCGCAAAGGACAAACCATAAATCTTACGCGAAATCGTTCGAAAATTCCCGACTTCGATTCAGCAGACGTTGTCATCGCACTACATAGCAGGACGGAAAGATTAGTGAAATTTAGAGTTTGGTCTTTGTTCGCCGAGAGAGGACTTTACATTTATGTTGTCAACTCAGTCTAACAAAGCTCCTGTTGGAAAGGGTAATTCTGCGTAAGGTTTCAAGGTTAACATTAGGCAGGGAAGACCCACAACGTCGTATTTGGTTTAAGGCTTCGGTGAAGTCTATATACAAGGTCTGTTCACCAGAGATGAGGCTGCGAGCGGCCGTGACCCTTGAAGCAATGCGTGGGAAACTTCAATCTACTCACCTAAAGAGATTGTGCAGGTAGTTTTGGGCCCACGTAGAAATCAGCTCGAATAGCGAAGTTAACAATTCCTTGAATGAGAAACGGCGCTCAAGGCTTACACTTCTCCGAATTTTGAGTTGTTGGGGCGCTAAGCCATATACAGATATATAGAATACAATAATCCACGAAAGAAATTCCTGAAATGCGAAACGTGTGACATTAAAGTGTTCTCGGCGTAATTGGCTAAGTGTATAGTGGTCCATATGAATACCACTACCACAGGACGAGTGAAAGCCGCATAGGTAGTCAAAATGTTATCTGTTGACCTGAACGGGGTTAGATCGTCGAGAAGGTGACAGCCCTTGGCTGTATAAAGTTCGGGCCAACTCCGGTGCGTAGAACTGGCTGTCATGACTGTTTTAGATGGTCGACATAATTCGATGTGCTGTTCCAATTGTGCCGGAAGCTCTTCAACAAAGCTGAGAAGCTAGTGAAATTCTTTTACGTCATCAGTGAACCAAAGAAGAGATAATCAATAGTCTGTTCTAAACCAGAAAGGATCTGCTATAGTCGTAACACGATTTTAGTGTTAAAAGCGAGCGAGCCTAGTGCTTTTATTGCTGCCTGGCTATCTGCCTTGAGACAATGCCTCTCCCTAAGAGTCGAGTTACAGTGTATATTCTGGCTTGCAGGCAGCATAAAACTGAGTTCCAATATCAGGTTCCGAGGGAAAAAACTTGCTGCTACTGTTTCAACCGTCTGCGTATATTTTAATACCACAAGCCGGTAGGGAAAAATGTGGCTGGTGAAGTATTTTATCTAAAACTTGTGACTCCAGCTCATCTCTATTGTGCTCGTGGTGATCTACTGCTTCCATTTTTCAAGTTTTCATCATAGAGTGAACATACTTAAGTCGCTGAAAGCTGCTGAGCTGATGTGGTACTACAATAATTGCCAACCTCGGCTTAAATTATCTTCCGAGAGACTTGTGCAAGCGATCAACGCGTGATCAGTGGGCTTTACCATCGGCGCTTGACCGATAGAAGCTTAGTCACGCGGTTTTTTAATGTCACGAGCGTATCACATAAAATACTGGAGCGCTCTCTACCTTGCGCTCATGGGAGTATTTCATATGAAATTCATATTCATCCCATTAAATTGAGTCCTTACCAGGCGATCGCGCTAACCGAGTGGTTAGCACTTCAAAAAATGTAAAAGCTTTGTTTATAAGTGAAATCGCTCTTTAGCAGAGAACAGCAGCCCTACCGAGTGTATTTCTGACATGAACTAAAGGCTTCTCATAACAAAACCATCAGCCGTTCAGGGCGGCTTATGGGGTGTGCGAATTAAGTAATGAGACTGATTACATTGCCGTGGTTGCGGTAGCCCTGCGACCTTGAAATTCCCATTCCCTTTTCTGGACATCATTCTCCTCTCTGTTGATAAATTTGCCATCGCTTCAGCTTGTTTAGTTCGCCTGTAGTGTCGCGTTAAGTAAACGTGTGTTCATGGTGCTCGCTACGAAAATGGAAAAACGAAATCCAGAGCAACGCGTCGCGTTAAAATTTTGCGCCGAATTGGGCGAAAAAGCTTCGGAAAAGTAGACTAAAATTGTAAATGAGAGCTGGTTCTTTCAATACGACCCGAAAACCAAACGACAAAGCTCACAATAGTTGTCTCCGCACGCCACCCGCCCGAAAAAAGCTCACATGAGCAAGTCGAAGATGAAAACGATGATTATTGACTGTTTTGATAGCCGTGGAATCGTCCACAAAAAATTTCTTCCACCGAGGCAAACCGTAAACCAAGTCCCCAAGTACTCGAAAAATTGCGAAAACGAGCCAAAAGTGTGCGCTCAGACATCGCTCGAAACTGGATCCTTCATCACGACAACGCGCCATGCCACACCGCCCTCAGCGTGTACCAGTATTTGGCCTCTAAAGTGATCGCCGTGTTAATATGTCACCTGGTGACTTTTTTATTCCCTAGAACAAAATCTGTGGTCGAAGGAACCCATTTTGAGTCAATGGAGGACATACAGGCGGCCGTTGCGAGTGTACTCGTAGACATCCCAGTCGAAGCGTTCCAGAAATGTTACGAAGCGTGGAAAACGCGCTGGAGGGGATGGCCGAGTTGTAGAAGAACTTTGAAATATACGGGTTTTATGGAATTGGTCTCATTACTTAATTGACACACCTCGTAGTATGAACTGTAGGTCCCTCCATTTGTTGGAAAAACGTCAAGACGCAAAACCACAAATAAGCTCGTAACTCGGAGCTCCCTTAGTACCTGCAATCCTTCATTGCATCATCGGCAATTTTCATACAGCGATCGAAGGGTGTGCCATATTCTTTATTGCAAAACTTCACAATGCTATTGAGCCATTCCATCATAACCTTTATGCCGCTCACTGCGAAACAAGAGTAAGAAAGTCAGCAAAAACTCTCAAACGTGAACGTAAAATACTTACAAACCACCAACACCAGCTCTTTAATGCGATACAACAGCAATTCAACTTGCTTCATAACTTTTTTTATATTACTCATAGCCGTCTGCACGGCTCTCTTGATGGCGACCAGCGGCTCCTTCATCACCTCCAACATTTCCTCGAGCGCGTGCTTGAGTTGCGTCTGGCCACAAGAGAGACTGCTTGTGAGAACGTCTACATTACGTAAAATATTCCACGTCGGACCCGTTGCGACCAAAATGAAAGCGAATGTAATCAGCAGAGAACGTCCTTTCGAGCTGCACATTATGGGTATGCACAAGGTTACGATGCAGCTGTGCGGATGAAAGATTTCACAACTTTCAGTCTTTCAATAAATTTACGCGGACCTACCGCACATTGCGACTGTAGCAGAGAAAGAGAAATACTAAAACGATTATATTCAACTTCAACCAAAGACCGCTTGGTAGTCGAAAGCGGCCCGTTTCGTATAATTGCCACACCATTGCCATGCCCACTCCCGTGAGATAGCCGAGTATCAGTAGCGTAACAACGGTTTTAGTGAAAAATTTGGCAACTCTCTCCTCTGCGGTCTTCGGTTTGTCTGGCGGAGTGGGGTTTGTTGGGGAGGGCGTTGAGTCTTCTGTTTTGATTGTTGTTTCCACAGCTTTTGTCGTAATCGATCCTCCGGATGTTGTTGTCGTGGGTGGGATTGCCGATGTTGATGTGTCGTCGGGCATTTTGTAGGGTTTTTTTCTTTTTTTTTTGCTGATTTCTAGCTGTGATAATTATAATTTATGGAGAAATTATCTTTCTAAAATTGAATAAAAATTCAGTTGAAAAACTTTTTGTGTTTGAAAAGTCAAAAAACGACTTATCTGAGTTAAATCCCTAAAAAACATTTTATTTGGAAATTTTTCAATTCTCGCTTTGTAAGCGATTTTTGATCGAGCTCTCTTCCTCCGATTTGTGGTTTTCGTCGTGATGTTTTTCCAACAAATGGAGAGACCTACAGTTTATACGAGGCAGCCTCCGAACAGCTGATGGCTTTTTAGGAGGAGCTTTTATTTCATGTCAGAGATGCCTGCCAAACCTGGCCTTAGTACACACGACTAACCACTCGGGTATTGCAGCCTCCAAAATGAGTAATATTTCGAAAGTGGCTTGGGACTTACAGAGGAGGTCGGGCTTTACTTACAAATTTTATAGAATTCTTACTAACGGTTTAAGCGGTTTGGTAGGACTCGTTGTACTACCCGGCCGCTACGCCTTGCATAGTATTGTTAGTCATTAGCCGTGGAGGTTTAGTCTAATTCGAAATTTAGTAGTCGCGAAGTTCAAGAGCGTCTTGATATTCAGTTTTGAGATTTCTTTTAGGCCTCTAAACCAGTCAACCTCCTAGATGGCTAAGGTGTGTTTCAGACAGTGTCGGATAGAAAAAGAGATGGTTTTCAACGTCTCAGTCTCATAGGCATACCTTTATTACCTATCACTGGGAGTACAGCCCATTTCGTTCGCGAAGGACGCGATGCAGTACCCACCAGTAGAAACAGAGTAAGAGAGAGATTTTCACTTCGTTGGAAGGCTCAGGTGGAAGGCGATCTGGTTTCTCTTGGTAGCTACACCTTTCGCCGAACAGCGAAGAGAATCAACGAATGACGCACTGTTATTGACTCAGCTATAATCACGTAAACAGTGCCAACGCCTGTGAAGAAAGAAGCAAAAGACGAGTGAGAAGTTATGCATTTTATATAAACTTATTTCTTTTTTAACGTTCATAACTCCAAGATGTATTTGAAAAATCTAAAGAATTTTTTTTTAACGATTATTTGTTGCAAGAATGCGTATAAAATATTTATAAAAAATTATAAAAAAAAAAGTACACTTGAAACACCCGGTGTCAATTTTCGCGACTCAGTTAGTCAAGACACCAACCGATCACGTAAAGAGTTAACATTGCTCGCAACTTCTGCAAATTTTATTTCCCAGTTTGTATTTTTGCACCACAGAGGTCGCCGCAAAACGTAGAAGACGGAACGGACGCGCTTTTCTTTTGCTGAAAACTGGAAACTTGCAAATAAAGTGATAAAACAAATTGTAATTTTTCTTTCTGCTCATTTTAAATATTTTATTTTTAATTTAATAGTAAACTAATTTAACTAAATATAAATTGACTTTACAAACTCTACAGTATTGGCCGCTGGGTATTGGTAATAAAACTTCCATTCATCATATTTCGCAGCAACATCTGGGATTAATATGAAAAAAGAAAAATCAGGAAATCAGTTGGCTACTCAATTAGGTATGTACATATATATGCATATTAAATTTAATTATATGAAATTAAAAATAATTAAATATTAAATTAAATATGCACATTTTATGCTTTATAAATTTCATAAATATTAAAAAGTAAAAAATTTCCTATAAATTACTAGAAAATACTTTTAGAAATAGTATAGAATTAGTGCCGTAGGTACGCAAGACCCAGAAGTGACTATAGAAAAGAGATAAGAGCGGAGGCCGTCATGTGGCAAATCCGGCCGAACAAATAATTTAATAGCCTTTTTATCGATGCCAGATTTTTTCAACTGTGCGGCACTCTCATTTAGAGCCGATTGAACTTATCAACATGAACTAGCCGACACTTTACTTCTAAAATGTCTCTCTATGGCCGATGCTCTATGGATCTGCTTCTTCCTTATTGGCGCGCCATTCCTCTCTTCTCGTCGCTGTCTGTTGGAAATGCCAAGTGAAGTCAGGTCACTCTCCACCTGATTCTGCCAACGGAATGGAGGTCTTCCTTTTCCGCTGCGTCCACCGGTGGGTACTGCATCGCATACTCAACAAGCTGGAATGCTTCCAACCATTCGGACGACATGCCCTAGCTAGCGTAGCTGCTGTCTCTGTATTCACGAGCTCTTCGTTCTATCAACTGCGGTATTCGCCGTTGCCAATGCCCTAATCACCATATAAGAGTGTGTCAAAACTCTTTTCTCTCGAAGACTCTCAGCGCCGACTCAATGGATGTCGTCATCATCCAGGCTTCTGCATATAGCCATATAGCAAGACGGGTATGATGAGTGACTTGTGGAGTTTAGTTTTGGGGACTTTACTTTTCTATTGCCTGCTCAGTGCAAAGTAGTAGCTTTTGGGTAGTGTGATTCTGCGTTGGATTTCAAGACTGAAATAATTACTGGTGTTAATGGCGGTCCCTAGATCGACGAACTTCGAAAAGAACTTCAATAGTGACGTCGGAACTAAGTCGTAAATGCGATGACTGTTTGTTTAATGACAGGAGATATTTCAACTTGCTCTCGTTGACTACCAGACCCAATCGCTTCGCTTCTTTATCGAGTGTGTCTATCGAAGTCTGGAGAAGCCAGAGCTCGGTTGTTGAGGGCAATAATTTCGATATCATCGGCGTACGCCAGCAACTGTACAACCTTATAGAAGATTGTACCTTCTCTATTCAGCTCTGCAGCTCTTATTATTCTCTCCAGCATCAAATTGAAGAAATTACACGACAAAGAGTCACCTTGTCTGAAGCCTGGTTTCGTATCGAACGATACGCAGAGGTCTTTCCCGATACTGAGGGATGTCAAATGTTGTTTGATCTATTCTGTCGACCTATTCTGTCGAGGTAATGAAATTTATTTTGGCATTGAAATTTCCCATTCAGTAAAAACCCCTCTGGGTTAGGGGCTCAAGAATTTAACCGCGTTAAGGCATGTCTGCCGTAAGAGCTGACTGAAATCCAATAGTTCCCGCGACAATCGGGTCTTTATAACGGAACGATCCGGATTTTTATACGGCCAAGGACTGTCACTCTCGCAACATTCCCCAAAAAGTACTTTGTGGAATATATTTGCAGTTACAACAACACCACTCAGTAAATTTTGCTACTATTTCGTATTCTGAGTTCACTGTCACCCTGTAAGCTTGGTTACTCGCGAAATAGAAGGTAACGTAGAGGCAGTGCTGCCGAAGGCTGCTTTAAAGTCGATCGAAATGTGGGTTGGGTGTCGATCCTCTTTTCACGGGTCTTTTCCTAGACTTGGCTATAGCGAGTAGCTGGTTTCAACGATATCGAGCATTTCTGGTATATATGTTTATACTTGTGTGTACATATATAATTTTGCAAATTCTTGTAATAATTGTAAACACACTTTTCGTGAAATGCTATGCCAAACACACAACGGTAAATGTGTAAATTTGCTAAGCGTCGAGTGAAATTGAACAGAGGAGAGAATATTGATGGAATTAATTAGATCTTTACATTTATAATTATTGCACAATAATTTAAAATATATAAATATATATGTACATATAAATAAGTATTAGTAAATATTAGCGCATGAAATGGAAAAATTTTGCACATTTAATAAATAAATAGTGCAAAAATATATGAAGAAGAAGAATAAGCAAAAAAAAGGAAAATCCGTGTGGCACGTGTAGTTGGGGCATAAATATAAATATTTACGACACATAATTGTAAGGCAAATACTTGCAGGCATACATACACATATGTGCATATATATATACATATGTATATTTATATAGATATATAATATTTGTCTTTTTCGGTACTTTTAATCAACCAACTGACTTTATTGCCACACTCGGGCATATGCACATATTATATATACATATATATGTATGCACGTACATATGTATGCATAATTGTAATAGTAGAAATTTACTATATACTATATAGATTACGAATCAAGCAATTACCTACACGTGTACACATATAATATTTATGCGCATAAAATGAAACGGAGATGGGAAAATTAATGGTTTGCACTTTGCCTTTGCAATTCCAATCGCAGCGCTTGATTACTTCAATTGATTGATATACATAATACATACATATGTACTTATGTATGAATTATGTAAATTTTTTCAATACGAGCCCCCAATGATAATGCTATAAGGTAAATGTTACCAGACTGTTTGTTTGTTGTTTTCTCACACTGAGATCCCTTCATTGCAGAGCGTTCGTTTGTCAATTTTTAAGCGTTAACCCATCGAACGTAGAATTGGCATTGTCTAATGCTGCAACTACCCAATTTACTTACCATCCGTAACATAACAGCCGACTGGTAGAGCGAGATACATACACGAGTTATCGACGCTGCTGAGAGCGGAGAAATGTTGCCAGCTGTCAGTGTGTTTGCACACTTCTGAACAAATTCATAATTTTCGTCAACAAATTTCATAATTTATATGCTTGAATATATACGCAAGAAAAATATACACGATCTATATGGTAAAAAATAATTAGTTCCGAATTTAGTTTTCATTTCTATTTGAAAAAAAAAAACATTTTATATTACTTTAAAAAAGCCTATACTGGCAACCTTGTATAGCAACAAGAAATAAGCCGGTTTAACGGAAAAAAATCAAATCACCGTTGGTTTCTGCGAGACAACCGTCAGTAACGCCATGGGCAAGCGGTGACAACTTTGTGTTTACATGGCGCTCTCAGAAAATAGTTAGCTATGGACGGAAGTTACGAGAGTTGGGTAGTTGCAGCATAAATGTATTGCTGTGATTTCGATAACTTATCGATAGAGTTTCAGCCATATGGGTTTCATGAAGCAATAAAAAGCACGAGGGGTTTAACAAAAGTTCGGTAAGTTGACCAGAAAAATAAAATAAAAATTATTTTTGTATTTAAAAAACCAATAAATTATATTTATTTCTTCATATTTTTTTTATCTTCTCTAAATAATCGCCCTTGATTTCAATGCATGTCTCAAGCCTATCGAGCCACTTCTGAAAA